AATGCTCTGGCCAGCAAATATGCTGAGTATATGGAAATTCTGAATTGTTGCCAAATGATAAATGGAGTACAAAACAGCAAAAATGGCGACAGCCAAACCAAACAGATTCACAAAAGACACAAGCACACATATGCCCAACCAAGCAGCAGAGAGCAGGAAAGAGCAAGAGAAGGAGGGGGAGATTGGGCCATAATTGTGTGAGTGGTTGATATCCTGGGTAGCTGCTGCCAAGGCACGGAAAAAAAGCCCGCAAATATGTCATTTGACATGCTAAATATTTCGCGCGTGGCTCTGCAGCATTTGTCAGGTAGGCAGCACAAAAACCCACGCAAGACGAATTGCGCATACGCCAAGTAAGCCAACTAAAGGCTGAGGTTAAATGTTAGGCTATAAAAATTATATATATATATCTGAATAGATTGGGCACTATTGGAGTTACTAACTAAGTTTAAGAATATAGCTTCTGAGATCAGCAAAATATTACTCTTAGATTGAAAAGAAAGCTTCTTTAGACATATCTGACTGACAGTCTTCAGAGTTATAGATCAAATTGATTGTTGGAATAACAAAATGTCTATTAACATTAAAAAAGACAACGTAGAAAACGAATCGTTAAACTAGAAAAAGTCTCATCAAAGCCAGCTTGAATATACTAGAAAACTAAATCGCCTTAAAGAGTCCAGAACTCATTGTGTTAGCTCCCACGCTTGAGCTGTAAATCAATTAGCAACCGCAGCTGGTATCCTGCGGCTTCTGAAAATTAACTACCTGCTAAGTTAATTGAGCAAGCAACTCCGGACAAGCGGCCATAAAAGTTGCGCCACAAAACTAAAAATTCGCTCGTTCGCTCGCTTTTACAACTATTAATTATGTGCGCAAAGTTATGACAGCAGAAAACAGGCGCGCGGCTCTGAAAAGTTTTGCAGAAACTAAAAACTGGCAGTGGCAGTGAGCAGCGGGTGCACGGGTAGCAAAAAATAGGAAGCGCACATCATAAATTACAGGACGAACGGACATGGACACGCGGATGTTGTCCTGGCGCTGTCCTGGCTGCTGTTCAGTCAGTAAGCCGGCTGTCTTGCGGCAAGCCAAACAGCTTCCATGCTTCCAAAAATCATTTCAATGGAGTTGCCGAGAACCAAAGCCGACAACGACTCCAGGCTCTGTCTCCGTCTCCGAGGCCGGCAATGGCAATGGCAGCAGCAAAGGTAGACCATCACACACACAGGCACACACACACACACAGACATACACACACATATATAAAATGGCTGCCGTAGCGCACAAAAAGTGTCATGGCGCATGAAAAACTTCCTGGCCATGGAGCAGGACTTCATCATGTGCCTTGGCCGCAAAACAATGGCGGCAGCTCCTCGCAACGGCCAACCACACAGATTCACAATTTTTGGCCAAACGAAAGTCGCATTGTCGAGCTCAATGTTTCCGGCGGCTCATGAAGGCACAGCCAAGCAGCAGCCTCTGCCTCTGCGGCCTCTGTGTGAAACAAAGCGCATCCGTTGGCGAAAATTGAAATGACAAAGTTCAAAGTTTAAGCGGCTTGGCTGTCAGTTAGTGCGTTTCGCTGGTTTTAAGTCGACGCGCAGCCCGCACAACTACTGCCGGGCATACCTGTCATCCAATCTCGGCCTGTCCATAGCTAATCAGCATTTATAAGGACATGGAAATTAAATGACCCACAGGCAGCGCTCGCAAATGAAATTGCCTGCAGTTAAAAGCACTTAACGAGGCTTAACAACAAACAACAACAGCACTGCACAAAAGTCATAAACTGAAAGTCAGCTAGAGCCACGCCCACGCCCATGGAACTGCCAGTGGTACGACAACCCCTTCGAAGAAAAATATTTGCATACTTTTAAGCGGAGCTGAGAAAAATCACTCATACGCACACGTCTCCATTACAGAATGGGGGCGTAGCCAGGCCCTGTGGGCGCAATGGCTTTCCCAGCTGTCTGGTTTTTTGTTGGCCTCGTTGTTGTTGCGCTATTATAACGGTATTTGCATTGTGTTTAAACGTATTTGAACACGAGGTCGACGTCGCTTGTCGTTCGTCAGGGTAGCTCAGCTCCTGCTCATGAAATTGAAAGGAAGCTGTTGGGAAATTCACTTTGGGGGTTACCGGCTGCTAGAGGGGGTTGGGTGGGGTGGTATGGTGACTGGTAATTGGGGATGGGGCGCTCAAGTTTGGGGCAAGTGCTTACCAAATGAGCAGGCAATTTATTTACGGTCAAATTGCGAGGTTAGGCAAAGGCAAACAATGCGCACGTTCGGCAAGTGCCATCCAGCGAGTTGCCTCTCGGCTGCGTGTGGGCGTAAAAATGTGATAAATATGAAATGCGATTATGGCTGCTATTATATAGACCGTCATGATGAGGCTTATTATGGAGTTGCCACTGTGGTTGCTCCGGGCGTCGTTTTGAGTGAGTGGCTGCCGACTTGCCAGCTCTCTCTCTCCCTCCCTCTCTCCCTCTCTCTCTCTCGCTGCTAGCTTAAATGAGGAAATGTGATTTTGACGATGTGTTGGCTTAACGAGACGCAAACAAACCGCTCTGCCTGGGTGTGTGTAGAGGAAGTTGTAATTGTTTTTAAAGGAAGTTGAAATTGCTCATTGGGGAAATGTATAAAATAAATCAGTGACACGACTAGACGCCAACTCCATTGTAAAGTGCAAACATATCAGTGAATAAGTCGTAAAAAACTATAAAAATGGCTGGGCGCAGTTCGAGGCAGATATACTAGAGTGGATAGAAGAATTCTCGAACTGACATAAGATATACATATTTTAATAACAAAATGACTATATAATATACAAATATATATTAAGTTATATTAAATCAATTTTCGTTTGCTTTAGACTTATATATTAATTAAAGTAAATTTAGGTTTTTATTTGATTTATATTTTGTTCTTTATGTTTACGCTGAAGTCTATAAGTTTTGGTAGTACCTGTACTTCCTACCAATTCGTCCTCATATATGTCGCTTTGTTGTATAATAACTCCTTCACCTTAAACAGTCTTGACTTAGCTTAGAGTGCTACTTGGCTTCTACTTCAGTTCAATCAACCGCTAAATATAGCCATCATTTCCCATCTCCTACAACTCCAACATATCGTTTCGCTTCAAACTTCAATTGCTGCTTTCAATTTGCTCACCGTTTTAACAACAAAGCAGAGTTTCCCATGCGTCTCCCACACTGCCACATGAATGTCTTTATCAAGTGGCTGTGGCTGTGAACACAAGGCTATAAAACGCTAATCCCATCATGGGAACAATGCGAACAAGTCATGATTTGGCTTGAGGTGCGGGGAGGAGCTGCATTTAGCTACGCCATCAATTGATACATCTCAGTTGATAAAGCCACAGAGAGAGAGACAGGCATCCTGTGAGAATCGCGTGGCTCGTTGGCACGGGCTAACAGGATTTGGCCACGCTAAATCAACGCAATTCGCTGTGGCTCATTTGAGTGCAGCACAACGAGGCAGCCACCACCCAAGACATTCGCTGCGCTTTGTCGGAATTCGGCATGCTACAAATTTTTGACTCATGGGAATCCAGAGGGTTGCCATTCGCCATTTCGCATTTGAGTCTTGAATTATTGAAATTCGAATATCATTTTTGCCAAAAAGCACTTGAGCAGCGCTGGCCAAATAGCTTGGCAGCAGCATGCCACATTAGTTGCGCTGTCTATCGCCTGAGTTTTTGTGGGGCAGGCGCTACCACCCTTCATTTGTATGCCATCTTGTTTACAGCTCTGTTCCCAGACTCAGTTGCAACTCATTAGCGTCGCCAGCTCAGTTTTTGTTGGCGCATCTAATTGCCGCATACGTTGCTCGACTTCTGGACTGCATGCGTACGAACGCTTGCATCCCCGCCCACTATGCTTTGGCTTCACTGCGCTAACAAGGCCAACATATTCTCGTCCACTCATATGGCGTATGCTACTCCACTAAATGTGGCTGTTTTTCTAATCCTGGGAACCTATGTTTTTTCACTTAACTCACGATTGCTTGGCATTAGCTGTGGAACATTTTTAAATCTGCCAGGACTAAGCTGTGCAATCTAGAGAACTACAGGGTATTCTTGGCATTACTTGCTGTCTTGTTACTGAGCTATTCTTGATGACAGTCTGAATTAATTCTGAGAGTGGAAAGCTGAAATTATATTCTAATCTTGTGTAGATTTTACTTATGTAGTTTGCTCACTTAAGCTGAAGTGATTAAAAACATAAAATATAATAAAAAATATAAAATATAAAATAATAAAAATATTGAAATAGACTAACATAAGTGCTGTAAAGACTTGTATAGGCTACGAACTAGAGACACATATTTCATTATTTAGCTTGCAGTTGAGCTTGAACAGCTTGAGAATTTCATATATTTATATGAGCTTCAGTTTTGCTTTCGTTTAGGTCTATTAATTTGTTTTATGTTCAGTAAGCAATTATAATTTCCTAAACAAGTAAGCCTTCTTTTGCAATCTACTTATTTCTGTTAAAGAGAATTTATATTTCTATATTTCACATCCCAGATATATCTGGCGATCTAGTAGACAAGCTCTCATAATGCTCACACATTCACAGAAGTCGCTCTCCTCTATTTATACCACATTAAATAAAATATTTATATAGTTTAAGTTTTAATAACAATTAGATATTTATTTGTAAACATTAAGACGCACATCAAATAGTAAATTGGATGAGCATGAGACTTAGTTCTAGTATTTTACAATGATAAAACGGGCAGATGTAATAGAGCTCTGCCGTGCCTAGCGCTAATGGGATGGGCAAACAAAGTTTAATCGGATGCGATAAGAATTGCACTATATAATGCTAATGGCTAAGGTTGTAACTTAGGTTGGGACTGTAACTAAACTTAATATCACAATGGAAACATTTCTGGGTGGGGGCGGGAGGAAGTGCTATGGACTCTAGGCCAACGAAACGCGCAGCAGCTTAAAAGTATCCGAAGAAATGCTTGGATCATTTGGCACCACCGCCTGATCGGCGTCCCGGCGGCGTTCCACCAACCACGTTGATAATCTCATTATCGTTGCTGGACTCCTCCGACGTGGGCTGATGATCGCTGGCCTTGTCCTGGTGCGCGGTCATGTGCCGAGTGAGGTGATGCCGTTCGCGGAACGTCTCCTGGCAGACGGGACAGCGCAGTTTCTCCTCGCGCTTACGCCGATTCGGATCGCAGGCCACCTCGCTCTTGTGGTGCGAGCGCATGTGGTAGACCAGATCGCTGGTCATGCGGAAGCTAATGTTGCACTTGGCACAGACATTCTGTGCGGTCAGTGTGAAGGTGGACGCCAGCGTGGGTGGTATGAGCGTGGAGAGAATGGCGGCTGCAGCGGGGTTCTGCAGGGGTTGAGCGACAGCAAACGGATGGGGAGGTGGCCCAAATCCTGGATAGGCATGCAGAAACTCCGGCGGCGGACCCGTTGGCGGCGACGACGGATTCGATGAGCAGCCATTGGGACTGTGGCCATTCGGCGCAATAGGTGGCCTATAGAGCAGCTGCTGCTTGAGTCGCTGCTGTGCCTGAAGCGCCTGCATGGGATTTACAGCCTGGAAAGCACCATTGAATTGATACTCAGGCCGAAAGTTGTGATACATGATCGGATTGGTTGGCATGCCGTTGGGTAAAGTGTTGGGCCCAACTGGTGCTGCATTGTTGCTGCCGCCGCCGCTGCTCGTGCGCGGTGGGGGCGTGGCCACCGGCGGACTCATGGAGTGACAGCTCAACTGATCGGGACTAAGTGGTGGAGCGCTCACATCCACTGGCGATTCCAGCCGGGACACCGTCGAGGGCGACGATGAGCTGGATAGCGATGAGGCCACCTTGGTGAAGGCGCTGCGGATAGGAGGCGGTGGCGGCGACACTGTTGCCTCTGGCGAGTCCACCAGCGGAATGACCAGTGTGGGATCGTCATAGACCCTCGGCGAACGTATGGCCAGCTGTGGATAGCGTTGCCGTGCCTCCAGCAGATTAATGTACTCCAGTGCCGCCGGCGACGGCGGCTGTGAGGCAGCAGCGCGAGGGGACAAATCCGTGGGATAGTGATTCAATTGGAGCGGCTGCTGTTGATGCTGCTGCAGTGCCTCCTGTAAGCGTGCCTGCTTCTCGGCCTGCTTCTGCTTGATGCGCTCATCGGGCATCATCAGAAAGGCCACATCAAAGGAGCGCTTCAGTGTGGTCTTCACGCTGGGCGGATCATTATTATTGTTGTTGTTAGAGTGTTGCTGTTGTGTCATAGCTGCTGTTGCTGCTGCAGTTGCAGTGGGGCTGGTGGAGATGCGCAGCTCAGTTTGCTGTTGAGGTGGCGTTCTACGACGCACGGTGGGATTCGCATGCGACGGCAGGCTGTCCATGAGCAAGTTCATCGCACTGGACTCGCAACACTTGCTGTATTTGTCGTAGTCTCTCTATAGAGTTCTTTTGGCTTTATATGCACTTGTCAACCAATGTGGCACCGTTCGTTTCGAAGCTCGGTTTTCGACTGCTGCCCGCACGCAATCTGTTCCTCTTTAAGTAGTCGCCGTTGCCACCACCGGAGCAGCGAGTCCACTTGGAATTTTCATATTGTCCCATTCAAACGCGAAACTCTCCGCACTCGCGGCACTCGCACATCTGTCCTGATTCTGCTGTTGGACTCTGCTTCGACTGCTGCAGAGAGTCAAATTCGAATCTGCACCCTTATGCTCGGCACTCTTGCTGTTACTGGCAGTGGCTATTGCTCTCCCGCTCTCTCGACAATCCATCTGCTTTGCCAGTTGCCAACATATTCTGTGGTTTTATTGTGTGCAGAGCGCCTGGGCGCGCCTCCTGGTTGGCTGGCTGGCCGACGACTGGCAGCCCGCTGAGACTTTCCTATTATATTTCGACACAGTTACATTGTATATCATATATACAGCACAGTGGTTGAAGAGAGCCTTTGGCTTTAGTGATGTGATTCGAACTTCATTTGATTGATCAAATTCATAATATATATATTCATAAAGGTAAATAATCAAATGAAAGATTTTATGCTTAAGATAATTTTAATTTATATATTCACTGAACAATTAAGTTATTTAGTTGATTTAGTATTGGCAAAGCTCAGTAAATACTAAAAATATATTAAGAAACATAAAAATGTATCTTAAAATTAAAATAATATTTTATTATAAATTTCAAATGTGATTTAAATAGTTTAAAAATATTTAGATATTTATTAAAGCTAAGTAATAATAATAAAATTATTTTTAGGCATTGCTTTCTATATTTAAATCTGATAAATATATTAATATAAACATTATTATGTTCGCTTGTCGACCTAATCGTAGCTTAATAATTATTATAGTGATTGAATACATTTTTAATTTTCAATCTTTTTCACAGCTGTAAAACCATATTTCAGCCCACTGTGGCATTTAGTCCATGGTAAAGTTTCGAAAAGAGGCGGCGCTTAGATGCCAGGTCTAGCTCTCTGGCTCTCACTTCCATCCCCTTTTTGTGTGGACTAGCAATCTGTTGTCTATCTCGTTTACCCACTCTGTATGTATTTCCCTCTCGCTTGGTGGCTGCGGCACGATATATATCCTTGATGTCCTTGTTGCAAGTGTTTCCGAACAGGTTGTTTTTGTCGATTTTTTGGCAGCACCAGCGATATTGTCTGAATATGTATTCATGTCGTTGTTGTTGTTGCTGTTATTGTTGTTTGTATTTTGAATATATGCTGCGCGTAGCTTTTACATATTGTATGCAAGCACATAAACACACAGACACACACACTGAGAGAGAGAGAGAGAGAGGGGCAGAGGGGCCTCTACATGTGGGCGACTGTTGAGCGCAAAAAGATTTTGCAAACTAAAATATTTATCCGTCTGCCATGTCGCTCTCTCTATATGTGGGCATAATGTAAAATAAAAAAGAGGAAATAAAACAAGAAAAAAAACTTAACTGTCTGTCCATTGTCCATTGTCCAGCAACAAATTGTGCAATGTTTTCCGTTCGCTTTGCCATCTCGCTTCAACTCGAGCTCTGGGCAGGATGCGGCCACTGCTAGGTCGAAATATGTGTTTGTTATGGCCACGTTATGTTGGCCCTGAACAATACACACACACACACACACACACTCATTTTATTGAAATTCCACGCCTTTTATTGCAGTTCTTGCAATTGCTGTTGTTGCTGTTGTTGCTTGTCTGCAGTTGGCAATTTAATGTTTGCATATTTTCAGGTGCTAATTGCTCCACTTGCCATATGAGCTGCATTTTTAATTAAAATTTATAGCTGGCCACTATCTGCACTGCGTGTGTGCATTTGTTGATGCCTATAATTCGACTGTTTGCCATGTTTTCTGTCGACGCAAAATTAATATTTAACACATGATTGCCTTCGGCATTGGCATTTCATTAAAAATATTGTTTAGCTTATAATTAATTAATTGCCGGCAGAACTATTAAAGCCAAGCCAAAATGATTATTCAACGTTTCAAGCTGAGAATTGATCCGATTTTCATTTTCATTTTCAATTTAAAAACCAATAAAAACTGAACAACAAATCTAAAAAAGAAATTAAAACCTTAATTAAATTTTATAATAAATTAAATTAAATATTAATAAAAACTTGGGCTCACATTTTGCCCAAGACTTTCATATAAATACAAGTTTGTAGCAGCTTCACTTGCCTTGAATTGTTAGAACTTTCTTCTACTTGTGCATGTGAGGGTAACATGCCACTTGCCACACGACACACACATGTGGCACGTGACAGCAATTTGTGTGTAGTGTGAATCCCAACACATTCGACGAATAAACTTCAATATATTCAATGGAAATTAACACAAATCTCGGATATACAAATCGAGCACAAAATTTGCTAAGGCCAAAAGCATTTGCTAATCTACCCTTCGAGATCTGTTTGACTAAAAACAATCTGACGAGCTCTGTTTGCCTTGTCACTGCTGCAGAGGGGTGTAGTTAGTCTGTTGTTGCTGCTGATGTTGCTGTTGGTGTCGATACATCAAACTGCCAAGTGACAAAGTGATTCCCAGGGCCTGAGCCTGTTGGGTTATGGGCAAAAAGGCGTGAAATTGCCTTTTGTGTGATTAAGTCAGGACTCGAAGGGTTTGAGGCTAGCGAAGCACAACTGCGTCTTGGCAAAACGAAAAGAAACAAAACTAAGATGACAATCTGCGGACTAAGTTTTAGAGGGCGCTACGTGCTCCTTATGCCGTGTCGTTGGCGGCTTTAATTACCAAAGCAGATAAGTAAAATGTAAATGGTAATTGTTTCTAGTCGAGAGCGGCAGAGCTTGGCGCTTGTAAATTCTGAAGACAGCAGACACCTTTTCTTACGGTTATTGTTTAATGTTAATGCCTTGGCTGCTGTCGCGTAATCTGCGTTCTTTGTGGGATTATGCTTTGCCGGAATGGAACAGCTTCTAGCTGCCTGGCTGTTGGCTCTGGCGGAAGCTGGCGCCTTGAAAAGTTTCCGGCTTGCAGCTGGAGCGGCACTTGGCAGTGGCCAGAGCAACCCCTGCATATCCCTGGAGTATGTGTTGGTTTCCAATTCGAGAGCATGGCCCCGGTTCAATCAAGTGCTTTTCGCGCATTATATAAAAATTCGAATTGGATTTCAGGGCAGAGCACCTAATTTGATGGTGGTTGGAGGGTGGTTTCTGCCCCTGTTGCTGTTTGTTTAAATACCGTGAATAACATGTGGTTTTTTCGGAGCATATGGCAAGGACTTTGTCACTATTTAGACGGCCGTCTGGTTCGTCCATGTTCTCGTTCAAATCCTCCAATTAGACTGTCATTCATTTAAACGGATTAAAAATCCCCGCACAAGGGGCTCGCTTACAAGGCCCGAGGGCCGCTCTCTACTACGCCCGGGTGGTATTCGGTGGTGGCGGCGGCTCTTGTGGTTTAATGCTCAGAAGTTATACATAGTTGGTCGCTAAGCGGCTGAGCTATGCGGATTAGAGCCCTTGTTTTGGTTACCAAATCGCCTCATGACGACAAAACTAAATGCTGCTGTTGCTGTTGGGGTTTCTGCTGCTGTTGCTGTTGCTGTCGCTGTGGCTGTGGCTGTGGCTGTGGCTGTGGTTCTCGATTGCTGACATCGTGTGCGTTCAATCAGCACGGAGAAGTTAGTCACAATCAAGCACGGTAAAAATTTTTATGCTGTCATATGCAAAATGCCAACGAACAATCTCTGACTCGGCACCTGCCGCGGCACTGCTGTGTCCTGGTTGCCACCTCAATGCGCTGCGCGCTTTATCTAAAATGCTTACGCTCGAGAAGCTTTCAATCGAGATGGGACGCATAAATATTTATGCTCAACGGGCAGACATACGAGTGTTTTGCCCAAACAAGACTTGCCAGCTGCATGCGCTCTTAAATCGTCGTGCCACAGCAACAAAAACAAAGCAATCGCAGTCCTTGCCACAGTTAACAGTTGCGAAGTGTTCAATTCCACATAGAAGATGCCCAGCCAGAATGTCAAGGACACTTCAGCTTTGGCACTGGGCGACAACAGCAACAGCAACAGGAAACAGGAAGGCCAAAGGGAAAGGGCAAAGCAACTTCGGGCTACTTTAGCTTTGAAGTGGGTATAATAATTCTATGGTGATTATTTTGTGAATGTGGAAACACATATTTATAGCTTAGCTAGCTGGGAATATATGTCAATGGAAATAGCTGCTAGGAAGTGACGAGTATTTTATGCTTGTTTTTATGAACTCTTAACGAGTCAATTCACAATCCACGCATTGGCTGGACTTCACAGGTACTGAACAGGAGAGATCCTCTCTCAATTCTTCCTTCATTTTCTTGTAGACTTTATGCAGTTGCCAGTTTTACTATGCAGTTCTCTTCACCTGTGATCTCATCTTTCCTTTATCCACTTTTACTTACCTACATATACTTGCTAACACAGCCAAGCTCTCAATATTCTCAACAGTCTTCTCTGGCCAACCACCCCGATAGGGTATTCATATTTCGACGTTTAATCAAATTCATAACGAGCATATTCTTAGGCAAGTGGGCAACATTTGTTAAGTGCAGGTCCTTCATCTGTTTCGACTGCGTATGCGGATGTGCAGCGTATGCTCAGTGAAGCTGCACAAATGAAGCGACCGCCGAGTCACCACCAGCACGAGAGACGACACCATCATTACCACCAGTTGCCAGACGACGCTGGCCTACCAACCGATTCCCAGTCCAAGTGACCCGCATTTAAAGTTGTTCAATACGTTTCCTGGTGCCATAAATTGTGACCCGGCCAAACGAACCTGTTTCGTATTGCGCTCTGTCCTTGCAATCAGTTTGTGATCTAATCAGAGTGGGACGCAGCCCCGGTTCCAATTGCGATTGAGTCCAACAGTGCCACTGAGCTGG